TCTTGTATTTTATCGCTCTGCTGACCCTTGGGGTCCATTTTATTTTGGTATACCTTTTCTAGGTACGTTAGCCTGTGACCACGGAAATTGGCCGAGTCAAGTGATGGATTAGTACGGAGAGATTGAGACAGAAGGAGGTACTGGATAGAGAGACCGGGATGGTTTTTAATGTGAAGACAACAACAACAACAAGGGTTGAATACGATGTAGCAATGGGGGGGGAGGCTCACACATAGATTATTTTATTTTTATTTTTATTTTTTATTTTTATTTTTTTTTGCCTTCCTTCCGACAACAAATATATATCTAGTTTATTATAATTTTGTTTGCCCTCCGACAATTGCAGATAAATGCAGACATACATAAAAAGTCGATCGTAAAGGCCGTCATGCCAAGTTTATTCTTTTCTCCTTCTTCACACCAATCCGAAGGCTCACATATATTTTTTCCTTTTCTCCTCCTTCATTCACACCAATCCGCGCATGACCGCTTTCATAACCTTGTACGTTATGCTCGCTCGGCCTGTAACCTCCCACGTTATCCCATGTAATAACCCCTGGTTGGCCGGAGGTTACACAACGTCCCCGTACAACCGTGCCCATTGGCCACCTATCATTTAAATGACAGGAGAAAAACAAACAAAAAAAACACCCCCTTGGACCGAATTCAAAACCTCGATTGCTACACGATGAAGAAGAGGATGTCAACTCCAAATGATACTACTACTATTTCGGAAAGATCTGGACAAGTCAATCCCAACGCCGCCAAATTCGGCGCCAATCTTGCTTATTATCCTGCAGGGGCAAGCAAGCTTTGAGAATCGGCCCGGGTTTGGTATCCTTGGGCAGCCTACTGCCGTGGTGTATCATGCTCTCGGACACGCCGAGTACTGGAGTGCATGATTTATTGTGGACCGCCTACCTACCTACCCAGGATCTCTGCACCCCCCAGGCACCCACCACCGTGCAGATGGTGTCGCGATAGTGTTGACTCCTTGTCTGTTCGGTATAGACGCACGTGCGGCTTTGCTGGTTCTTTCAGCCTCCGTGTTTGGTCTCATGCATTGACCCAGTGTCGTATCGTATGTATCTATCTATTGAATACATGATGAACAAAAACACCAAACCTGCCGGATCATTGCTGTATTCAAAAAAAGGGGATTGGACAAAATCGGGACGTCCCTGGGGTACAATGTGCAAAATCGGGACGCCTTCTGAACGTGCCGCGGTCGTGACGACGCACACACCCAATACCGCACGAAATCGCGCCACAGCGCCTCCACCCGCCGCGCACAAGGCGCGCCGACGCTCTCCAACCCTTTTTTTCCTGCTCAACAACCTAAAACAGTGTAGACGCAGCCGCGTACAAAACCCTCTCCGCAGACCACCCGATTTTGTCCTAAAACCTGCAGGGTCGACCCCTACCCCGAGAAAAACATTATCTCCGACCCTATTTTGTCCATCTGACCACCCCTTTTTGTTCACCACAGCCGGTTCGTGGGGAGTTTGAACGCGGCCATCTCCCCGCAGCACCACCAGCCGATACCCGCAAAAGAGCCAGCAGCAAAAACACTCCGCAGCAGGCAAAAAAACACCGACCGACAACAACTTGCCGCCCGCCGGCAAGCCACCACAACTGAAATCGACCGCCGAAAGAAAGATCCGAACAGTCGCTCTGCAGCGAACGGACGTTCGCGGAAAACTTCCTCCGCTCTGCCCTCTCGCCTCTCGCCACTTCTCTCTCTCCCTCTCCCGCCTTCTTCACAAGCGAGGGCGACGGCATTATTGGTGCAAGTAAACATGTCGGCGGCGGCGGCGGCGCTGGTGCCACCGCCGAGCAGCACACCGCAGCCTCTGTACGCGCCGCGTCCTAAGATTGGGGACTGCTTTTCGAGCAGCGTCGAACTCCGGGTAGCGTCAGAACGCGCGATGTTGCGAGACAATCGCACGATGATTGCCGACGCTCGTGGCGGCGGCGGCCACGCGAAGCTGTACCGCTGCTCCGGGGCTATCATCGAGAAGGGCTCGAAGACCACAGGAGGATGCCAGGCTCATGTCAAAGCCAACAAGCGCGCGGACAAGCACTTCTACGTCACCAGCGTTTGCTACGATCACCAAAACTGCGCGGGAGGCACGAAGAAACCGAGCGTCAGGGCCATGGCTGCGGAAGGCGCGGTGGTCGTCCGCGGCAACCCCAAGGTCTCTGCTCCTGCGCTCGCGAAGACGCTGAAGGGCGCCCACGGGGTGGACATGGCGACGTGGGCAGCGGGCCGTGTCAAGCGCGGCGTGACCAACGGTCAGGAGGACACGAAGAAGGAGGGAATCCAGCGGCTCGCCAGCTTCTTGGACCTGATTGCGACCGACAGCCCAGGGACGATCACAGACTGCAAGGTGGGTGTTGGTGTGTAGATGGCGCTGCTTCGGTGTAGACCCTTGTGCACCGTGCTCTTTTTGTTTTGTGGCGGCGGGTGGCGCGACGGTGGGTGGCGCTCTTGTCGGCGCAAGTTGTACCAATTCAAATTGGTAAATTCATTTTTTTTAATTCTTCGGTCTTTCGATACAGAATCAGGAGGGGTATTGTTTGTTGATGCAAACGCTCCGTCGCCGCGTGCGTGCAGCCGTGCACCACGTTGTCTACGACCGTAAACACTTTCCGGTTTGTTTGTCTCGCTGGTGCTCGCATGAATGACCCTGCCTGTTGGTTTGATGACCCGGTTACGTAGAGTTGCGGAAAGTTTTGACCCGGATGTTTCGGTCGCGACAAGGTTCGAATAGAATTGGGATCGAAGTCCACGTTCGTTTTTCACTTCTTCTAGCGGCCCTTTCGTACTCATCGTAGCCACCGTCGCAAGCGCGCTCACGTATGGCTGTGTTTGAAGCCACCGCCGAGCGTGGTGTGCCAAAGATTTGTTCGCCGTATGTTCATCTGCCTTGCTTCCCTTTCGTTCTGTCGACGCTCGAGGTTGGCAAGGGTGTGCGCTTTTCGTTGAATGGTGCTTTAGCCCGCCGGTACAACTTTATGCGGCCCCCTTTTTGTCGGTGCGCGGCGTATGGTGAAGATACTTTTCTGTCACGTTATGTGATGCAAATCCCTTCCACGCGTCCGGTCACGCGTGTGAAATCGGCACTGTATGAGGCCGCTATTTTGGTTTATTTGAGGTTCATCAAACACTTTTACGAACACACGTTCCTCGACGTGGTTCATGACCCGTGACCAGGCGGCTATGAAGCATGTTTTTTGCTTTCCACCCCTCGCGCTTCGTTTCGTTTTTGCAGTGGGATGCACAAGGTCACTTCGAAAAGGCGTTACTGATGCTCGGGTCAGTCGCTCACTTCGCGGTTCAAGGGGTTCAGCAGGTGTGGCAGTTGACGTACCTACCCTACCTTACGTTTTGCGGGGAGTTTGTGGGAAGTTTGCGGGGCGTCACAACTTTGCTACCTCCTGTGTTTCTCTGTTGTGGTTTNGTTCATCAAACACTTTTACGAACACACGTTCCTCGACGTGGTTCATGACCCGTGACCAGGCGGCTATGAAGCATGTTTTTTGCTTTCCACCCCTCGCGCTTCGTTTCGTTTTTGCAGTGGGATGCACAAGGTCACTTCGAAAAGGCGTT